ACAAAAGACGGGTTTTTTTCCTCGCATCTTTAAAGGCACCCTTTTTTTAAACGTACAGTATTTTCCTTTTATTGTTTGTTTGAGTTTTGTTTTTTGTGAATATTATCGTTAATACTATTTGTTTTTTTTCTCTTCACACCTGAAGCCCCACTACGTTCTTACTTTTTAATTAATTAAATATTGTAAGTATATATTATTGGTATTTTATTGTTTTGGAATTCGAGTTTGAAAAATAAATTAAAAATGAGTCAAACCATATTTTTTAGGATTCCATTGGTGCCTGCCTGCAGAAAATAAGGTAATGTATATATCTGGCGGAATCTTGGTCCAGGACATGGATTAAACCTGGGGAAGAATGGCATCGGGCTCATTTTCAAGTATATAGTATCCATGATTTTTGCAAAACAGAGATTTCTCCTGCAAAATAAGGTCTACTAATCCTGAAAAAAGGTTGGATGTCCCTTAACGCGGTAAAAAGTTTTGCAAAAGATTGGAAATTATTTATAAGAAAATGGGTCTATTTCTACTTAATCAAAAACCACCTACCTATCAGAAGAAACCGTCCCATTATTCGACGATAATAACGATCAAGCCTTAATTAATGCCAGTGGCTTTTGATCCTTTGACGATCCAGCCCCGTTTGTGGGCTTTTGATCCTGCCGGACCTCGACGTCGCGGTTCTCTACGTTGCTTACGCTTCAGGGGGGTTCTTGGTCTCTTACACCTAAATGAGACACGAGTGTGGGTACGACATCCTTCTTAAGTTTCGTACCGTTCTATTCCCGAGGTCCTCAACGGGATATAGTTCCGTCCTTATTTCCGAGGTTCCGAAGGCTTTAAGGTTCCAAAGTTTTAAGGTTTTGACGCTAAAGTTGGATTCTGGCGTCATGTAAAAACTATCCGAGGTTTTTTATTTTTTTTTTTTAAGGCCCTAAATTGGTTGGATTCTTGGTCTTAAGACTTTGAAACCGCTGGTTCGATTCCAGCAAGGGCAATCTATTCTTTTTTTAA